GAATACTTATCCAGGTTTGTCGATAGCCTCATAAACAGGATCCCACCTACTTTCTCGTCATTTATAAAGGACACAAATCAATTTTTAAAAGACATTTTAGACATAGGTGTTCCCGACGATAGCTTTCTGGTAACACTTGAAGTATCGTCTTTGTACACACACATTCCACACAACGATGGAATTTGCGCTCTTATCAAGGCTTACGATGATTGTTGCTTTGACAAGCCAGCTGATGGTCAAACCATTGGTACTCTCATGAAGCTCATCTTAGAACTAAACAACTTCGAATTCAATAACTCGGACGGCGTCGAAACAAATGGGACATCTATGAGCACTAGAGTAGGTCCTAACTACGCAAATATCTTTATGGGCCTGTTGGAAGCTAACTTCATGGAGAATTCACCTTTGAAGCCTTGCTTCTACAAACGCTTCATCGATGACATCTTCATGATTTGGCCACATGGCGAAGCAATTCTTTTAAGTTTCGTTAGAATTTCAACAATACCCACCCCGCCATCACTTTCACCCATAATTACTCATCAACAACGATAAACTTTCTTGACGTCACCGTCACAGCTAGCGAAGGACGGCTCTCCACAAATCTCTTTCGCAAACCGACTGATAGGCATCAACTCCTCCGTTTCCATAGCAGTCAGGTCCGACATTGCAAAACAGGGATACTGTACAGCCATCCTCATAGGTTTAAAAGAATATGTTCCAACCACGAAGATTTCCTTTCGAATTGCCAGGATCTGAAACGTTCGCTCGTTCAACGTAAATATCCACGGGGAATAATTGATGACGCCATAAAACGCGCTGACAAACTAAACCGAATTGACCTGCTCAACGCTGACCCCAAGGCGTTGTGTACAACCCAGGTTAACCTTGTTCTCACCCATTCAACGTCAGCTCCAAACGTCCCCGCGATTTTGAAGCGACACCATAACATATTAACTCAATGCAAGCGCCTTAAATATGTATTCGCAGAGCTACCGAGAGTAGTGTACAGACGTGCACGTAACCTCCGTGATATTCTTTCATCGTCTAAGCTCGCTGCCCGTAAACAAAATGGCTGCGCTCCTTGTGGGAAGTCGTGGTGCAAGGTGTGTGCGCACATGGTAACTGCGCAAACTCTCACCAGTTCATCCACTAGCTTTAAGTTAACAATCAGGGGCAATCTAAATTATGACAGCTCCAACGTAGTATACATGCTCGAATGCAATATCTGTAATTTACACTATATTGGTCATACAGAAGCACCGTTTAGAACTCGGTTTAGTAATCATAAGTCGCATGTCAAAACCCTTCCAAATCTGCCTCTATCGAAGCATGTAGCAATACCTGGTCATTCTTTCGACAATATTAAAGCAACGGTACTGGAATCCGGTTTCCGCTCACATCATGAGCGGAAAATGCGTGAGTCGTTTCTAATCTACAAGTTCGGTACACTAAACTCTGGAATAAACGCACACGCCGGCACACTCGCTAATCTACCTTGCACCACGTAAAGTGTCTCATACCCTTCCGAGATTTCTAGTTCATTTCCTGTTATTTTACTTCTTATTTTTGTTTTCGGCCGAACCATTCTTGTTCCCTGCTTAACAAACGCAGTTTACGTGGTTATCTTTAGTATGTATACCGCTCGTTCATGCACTTCAATATACACGCATGCTTGTTATATTGCTTTCCACACCATGCGCTGTATTTACTTTAAAATCTCTTTAACTCGTACAGATGTCGCTATAACGATAAGAGGTGACCGCTGTGTCCATGTTACTTTACGCATTGCATTTTCACACTAAATGTATTTTGCCTTTTTGTAAAATCATGTCGAATCACTTCCGATTGCTATTGCGCATGTCCCAAAACATTTTATAAATGTATATAATGGCTACGAAAGCTACATTATATGTCACACTGACGAAGGCTTGCCCACCAGCCGAAACGTATGTGATTAATAAAAGTGTTTCCTCGTACGTCGTCCTTTCTCGCTTCCGTATATATATATATATATATATATATATATATATATATATATATATATATATATATATATGAAAACGCAACAAAGAAAAAAATCCTGGAAAAAAAGACTGACGCGTGGATTCGAACGTGGGACCTCCGCGGCGGTAATGCGAGGCGTTATCACTGAGCCACCATTGGGTACCTCCTTCGATATTCAAACGGCGCGGTATTTATTTACCACTTACCGCTGTTGTCGGGCATATCGGTGGGGAACGTGTTTTCAGCATTATTAGTAAGATTTATCAGTTAGCATGCAGCAGCTCTCATCTCTTACGCGTACTTTGGCCCGCGTAGGGAATAAAGGGATGTATGGCTGTATGCTCAATCGCACGCCCTTATTTCTTCACTGGGGAGGATCGTACGTCTCGTACGTTTTTGATGTAGCCACCGGGCGCACAAAGGTCACTGCAATCCGTCCACATTCTTCGTTTGCGAAAAAAGCGCGCTTTTCAGACGGGGCGAAGTAACAACAGAGACGCTTATTTGCGTGCATCTGTACCTGTGAGAACGTTTCGTGCCTTATTTGTGCGTGAGAAACGTGGAGAACGTTTCGATCTGCTCACCAATCTGCGCGTGGCCTTCCGAGTCGGTGCAATCGCGTTCTATGTTTCGACTTTGCGGCAAAGCCGTGACTTTTTTTCTTGTGTTTTCATATATATATATATATATATATATATATATATATATATATATTGGCATTACTGTCTGTTATATCTCATTATTATTGTGTTAAAACACGGAATACAAATACAAGCCCTTAGGTATACACTTCTTCCCCTTATTTTATATATATATATATATATATATATATATATATATATATATATATATATATATATATACTCTGAGTGACGGTGACGCGGGCGGGCAAATCCAGCCGAGAGTGTCCTTATAATGACTATCGCAATAAAATGCAGCCGCTGCTGCAGCGATTACATCCCGTGACCTGCGGGTCAGCAGCCGAGTACCTTTGCCACTGGACCACCACGGCGGGGCGAAAATTCGCTACGAAAAAAGTACATACTGTTGCCTTTATCCTTATTAAATACATACGCGAATCAAGCTGGCCAAATATATGACGCATGCATACCTGAAGCATGCTGCTAGGCCATATTTTAAACTAATTGATTAGTGCACTAAACACAACTTTGTTGTCAAACAGTTAATAAGGCGTGCTTGTGCTTACCCTAACAAGCATGTGCTGAAGAGCCATCAGCACTTCACTGAGACAGCTTCCTCGTGCTAAAAAAGTTCCTTTCTGCAATGACAGAGTTTTAGACTGGTAATTTGCGAACAAACTCTGGCTTTTGGCTAATTTAGAGAATTCCGTTAGTGCGCAGGTTGCAATCGCATTCCACTCTAATGTCTACTACGACATTCGTCTCTGCATCGGCAAATATGTCTACCCCCTGCTATCTAGAACGTCCTTTCACTCAACGCTCCATCTTCAATTGAGGAAGCCGATGGTAGCACCATCTCTAGGTGGAGAAAACAACAACATATTAGCGATACTCTGCTGCGATTCTTCCGTAGCGCAACATCATTTCCAGCCGAGCAGTGGCGAAGTGCTCAACTTTGTCAATTGAAGGTTGAAAGTCGAGTCGAGGAGCATTTGTGAATACGGCGGTTTAACTCTCAAAGCTAACTCTCTGCTAGGATATTTCTGTAAGCAATCGTCTGTAAGCAAGAAAAATGAAACGTGGCGAATTCTGGCGAAAATTCCAGAACACACTTGTATATCAAAGGCTGGGCGGAGAATAACAAAACAAAGTTATGCTTTACGCAATTCATGGTTAGTGGTACTATATAAATTCGAATTATTTGTGGCATCGGCCTTAAAATACTTTTCTGCGCTTGACTTCGCTCATAGTCCAGTCTCTACACGAGTTCGTTGGCTGCGAAAGTAAATATTGAAAGTTTGTGTCGGTGTCCTACATTGCTTGACATACATAAATTTATTGTCATGTGTTTGCCATCCTTTTGTATTTTTTTATTTCTTCCTCTTTGTATGCTTTGTCTTCTGTAGTTTTATTATTAGCCATTGCTTCCTGTTTTTTTTTTTCATTTCTATACATGGTATTTTCTGCGTTGCAAAGAGCGCACTCATTTTTTTGCTGCTGAAGCTAAGCCATCGTTTCGGTATGCTCGAAAAAGAAGAGGAAGAATTCTTGAAATTAAGTTGCGTTCAGTAGGCTAGTTATGTAGCGTTACGCCAAGAAATGATGACAGCATACTAGAGTGCGGCCCCTAAAGCGATCTGCACCTAGAAAAAATATGAAATGTAGCAACCATTCGAACCTAGATCGCGAGCGTCGCCACCGAGCACTATACCACTGATTCAGACGACTGGACAAAACTATTTAACTGACGCAGTGTTTACGGGAACCTTGTCTGGAAAGTAATCGTGTTCGCAGATGTGACATAGTGGGCCAATAGTGAAATAGCAACGAGGCGTCACGCAATGTGAAATGTGTAAGGAGTGCGTTGTTCCAAGTTGTCAATGAATTACGAAGAGATTCTGTATATTCTCTATTGTAACCAGGCACAGTTTTAATGAAGTGCATAAAATTCACAGGCGCATAGTGGGTGTCCCGCTTTCTTCAGAATGCTGATTAAGGGTCACTAGTGAGTAATACACTACCTTGCAAAGTACCTGGGATTTTCGGTGCAGTGACTATCTTACAACTCAACGCGCAGTAACTCCATGAGCGGCTAGAAAATCTGCTCATAGAGCTGTTGCTTAGTGCGGAATCTTCCTCGCGCGCTTCGCAATAAATTTATTCGAAATAACTAGATTCTGTGTGAGTACGACAAGTGTGAATCGAATTTTGAAATTGTGGCTTCTTTATATGTGGACTTCTAAAATAGCTTCCTACCAGTCTACGTGACTGTGACTTGTTCTTATTACTTCGTGAAGAGGGCTGAGGCTGAGATAATATTTTGAGAAAGGGCTGACCGCATTTTGCGGTACTTACTTCTTCAACAGTGTTAATTGTTATCTGTGCATTGACAACTTCTTTAAGAGTACTTATTCCGTGTGCTTGTTCCAGGTCATCAGATATTGTTTCTTGAAAAAAAAGAAGAGGCATAAGTAAGTTTAGTTTAAAAGTATAAAATACACAAGTTCTAATTAGTACTTTTTGAAGCACTGTGCCTGCCTTGGCCAAAAATGACTCTTTTAATCTATGTGGTCACTTTCCAGTAGGTAATATTTGGCTTTCTGCTAGGGCTCGAACGTCCTATACGCGTGCAATAAAATAAACTGTTTTAAAAGAAATGCTGCATGTGATTTTCTTATATACAAAATGAGGAACCTTTTTCTCCCCTTCATTTCTTCCCCAGTGCAGGGTAGCAAACCGGACGTGCTTCTGGTTAACCTCCCTGCCTTTCCTTGCATCTTTAACCCTCTTTCTTTTGAAAAAGGGAGCAAAATACTCTGAAAGGAATTATTACATTGTGGATCTCAAGGGCATTTATGAAAGTGATTTCCCGGCAACCAGAGCATATGCAGCAGAACCGCGAGGCCTCCTGAAGAGATGGCCTGTCAAGTGTTTTTTCGACATACGAACAAAATACCATAAGCTTTGTTGTGGTATGTTGTTACCTAAAGGAAATAGTAAGCAGATGATTTGGTGAACGAGAGTGTTGCTTGTTCGGCAAACTAATACACACCTAAAGACACAAAGGTCAATATAACGTGAAAAAATCGAAATGCAGTGAGACGCACAAGCAGAGTGCACAGAGAGGTGGCTACTAAGGAGTCATGTTTTTTAAAGAAAAACACCTCCTCCTAAGTACACTCAGGGCATGCGCAAAAATGGCACCCTACCAGAGAATTCGCCTATATTCTACACCTGTTCAATAAAGTCACACTCTTTACAACTCAAAAGCACAGATGCAGTAATTACGCATTTTATGAACCAAGTATCTAAATATGAAACGCGTCAACAATGCTCTTCGCGTTCAGCCTAACCAAAATGAATGAATTTCGAAAGATGGGTGTGCAACCACACTGTTTACTTTGTAGTGGAAGGTTACCACCAGTGACACAGGATATAACATTTCAATTTTCCTGCAAACGAACGTTAATGCACTGACCAGGTTTCCCAATGTCCTTCTAATCGCAACTAAGGTAAATGCTACACACCCCACATGTTTCACATACGCAATATTTCTTGACCTGTTTGATATTACATCCTTTGGGTTGAGCTGAGCAACTCTTTTACACAAACGTCTGAGTCTGCTTCGGGCGATACAAACAATTCTAATGTCATTTCTGGTAGCAGCAGTTTTTCATCCTACGTGAGATGCTGCGTACGCATGACGTAACGACAAGCTTCTTTTTCATTTTCTCTCGAGCATCATGATCACTCTGTGTTTTCATTTGGGGCACCTAAAGAAACCTTTAGCCACTTTGATTATCAAAGTCTTACGGTAGCATGCCACCAGAAGCCTATTTGGTTGCGGAGAAATCCGAAGACCTGTTAACGACTCTAAAACCTATCCTAAAATCTGAAAAGTGAAGAAAAAACTGGTTCAGCTACTGCAGGATCTTCACCGCGAGTTCTTTTTAAAGTTAGTTAGAAAGAGCAAAGGTGAAGTACTCTCTCTCATTTTTATGCTTATGACACGTGAACGTGAGTGCCCCATAAAAACCCTTCTCACAGAAGAAGACTCGTAGCAGACGCTTGTTGGAATATTCCGGCTAGGTTATCTCAATGCGCTAGAACTTGAGTGTTCATGTGACATTGACAGATTGAATGTGGTAGTTGTAGCTTAGAGGTAAGAAGTTCTAGTGGCGAACACAGCTTTCTCTGTAGACATTGAGGAGTGTTTTCATTCTGTGCCACATGGCGAACTGTTTGCAGTCGTGCGCGAGGCCATTGAAACCCATGAAGCAACCACTTTTAAACGCACGTGTGACATTTAAACTTCGAGCTTCATTAGACGTTTGACCTTTTACTTCTCGGCAACATTTTTCACCTTTTAAAGCAGCTTGTTTTGGCAAAAAAATGGTGTTTGCATTGGATACTTTGCAGTATTTTTATTCTAAATTCGACTCTTGCTTGTGTGATAGTCTTGATGATGAACAAGTCGCCCGTGTTTTTAGATATTTCGATGACTTTTTGTTCCTCTAAATATGGGGGGTGGTATTGTTGTCGCTGAAGTCATTCATAACGTCATATCAATGTTTCTATCCTGTGGCGCACCGTTGCGTTTTACTCATGAAGCACGTGAAGAAAACTTCAATAGGTTTCTGGAAATGTCTCTCTTTTTTTCTCCTCAGTGCAACATGTGCTAGATCTATAATTCAGACACGAAAAAAGATTTATTTACCCTAAAACACCCTCCACACTAAACTAGTCAGAAGGGCTATCGCCAATGTATGCTTGGCAAATGCGGTGGCTAAGGGCTGCACCCACTTATTGCAAGATAGTTATGTTCAGCAGTAGAATGGGATTCTGGCAGCTCGCTACGCTAAAGCTTCATTCTCCATTGTGGCTGAAGACTTTTTTAAGTGTCTCAAGTTGAAACACAGGGCTCAGTGTGGAGTTTGAGACAACGTGAAAAAAAGAACCTTGTTTTTATGCAGTACGTACGCGGCATCTCACCCAGGATGAAACAGGTTGTTGTCAGGAATGATAGGCTATGGTCTGGCCTGCACCAAGCAAGCTCGCAGGTCTGTCTAAGAGGGATGTGCAGCGTGGCAGACAAAGCGGAGCTTGCGGCATAAAAAAGTGAAGAAACACTATGAATTAGACACACGTGTGATATATTGCGTTTCGCCCAGTTGCAATAAGAAGTGTATTGGCAAATACGGTCGGTGCCTTAACGTACGTTTGTGGAAGCCTGAAAATATTTTGCCCTCTGTCACTTCTGGTAGATTTCTGCTACAATCTATGCAGTGTAGTTGTACGCTCAAGTTGGCAAAGGCATTCATTTTAGGTAATTCTAAGGCTCAACGTGAAAGAGAACTGATTGAAGGGTACCAATTTTAGAAGCTTGAGAAAAATTGTTCAAGAGTTCCTTTTGCGTTTTTCACCCGTAAACGGTACGACTTTCTTAAACAGTGGTGATTTGCATGTATAAGATAAGCTCGGACATCAATAGTAGGGTGCCGTTTTCGCGCGTGCTTTGTAGGAACTCAGTAGGTGGCTTGGTTTTGTAACAAACGTCAGCTCTGAATAACCACTTCTGTGTTAGCTGTATCTGTTGTTGCCTCTCAGATTTTTATTGTTTTTGGACGCTTTAGTTGCTTTTTTGCGTTAACGATTTTGTGCACAATTGTCAGTTTGTAGTTCTTAAGTGTTCACAAAATTTTTTAAATCACTCTATTTATTTCTGTCCTAAAATAAAAACAACCACTTTCTGTTTATACCGGAAATAAAACGTATCCCGCTCAAGATTCATCAGTGCCCAAAATTTGTGGCTGAAATCCCTCGCCTCTCCTCGTACTTCTTCGAAACTGACGTCCATAGGCTAATAAGCCGTCACAATGCAAATTATTAGTGGTTTGAAAAACATGACTAATAATTCCAATTATTCCTGTTCTGGCCAGTTTGGCCAATTTGATGCAAGATAATGGGTACACACAGCATTCACCTGCACCTTAAGTATTGAGTGTTCCCGATGCAGGGTACTTCTTAAAGAGGCATTGCAAAACTATTTCAGCGTGGCCAGAAAATGGTGTCGATCGGTAGTACAGGCTCCCGAAATAAAGCCAGCCGAATATTATGGTGCAGCACGCGGCATGATATTCACAATACATGATCACAAGCAGCTGAAAATTGCTTTCTCTTCTCGCGACAAATGGCAGAAGACGCTCAAAAATCACTCTCGCAAGCACATCTATCAGCCATTGGCTGATTTTCACGTGGCGCGCTCGGTCGTTACATAGATCACCGCGGTAGGCACGACCTGTCCACGCATGCGCGCGCAATCACACTGAAAAAGCCGTGCATTCAAGAACAAAAAAGAGTACTCAAACTCACGAGGTGCGGCTGAAAATTTTTTTTGCCCCTTCTATCCCTTCTCGCCCTGTTTAGCTTTCAGCGCTTTCTTCAGGACGAGAGAAGAGATAATGCAATTGCAGCATGCGACAAATCTTTGTAACTCTACTCACGCTGGATGACTTGTTAAAATTTTCGTGGCATTTATTTCGTAATACAATAAGGCCTTCCAGTTAAATCATTCCATGGCTACTCGAAAAAGTCTTTCAGGGCCCCTTTTTATATAACTATATTTGCACACAAGCAATGACGATCTCGTACGTATAAAGTACCGCTTCTAGCTCACATTCCGGGAAGAATCGACTGCCCAAGCACGGACATGTGTTTTAAGTGTTAATCAACACTCCCATGCACAAAAATGTCTCATCAATAAAGATGACCACCACCAGAATCCAGTTTGTTCTCTCATCCTCTCTGCTCTCTTTTTGTGTCTTAAGATTCCACCTATCATTTTTCCTTCCATCTCTTGGATCATCGTCTTCAATTTAGGCTTAACCCTTTTTGTAAGCCTGCAGATTTCTGCTTGATAGGTAAGTACTGGCAAGATGCAGCTGTTATGCATCTTCCTCTTCAGGACTAGTGGCAATCTGCTTGTTGTAGCTCCCCAATACTCGTCGAATGGGCTCCACTCTACTTTTATTCTTATAGCTACTTCAGTCTCGTGGTTCAGCTCTACGGTTACTACATGTCCTAAGTAGACGTACTATTTTGCAACTTCAAGTGCACTGCTACCTAATTCGTAGCGCTGTTCTCTTCCAAGGTTGTCGTACATTAGCTTACTTTTTACAGATTACTTAAAGACCTACCTTTCTGTTCTCCTTGTCTAATTCAGTAATCATGAATGGGAATTTATCCCCTGAGTGAATCAGCAATGTGAGCTCATTGGCGAGTAGGCTTCTGAAAACCTCGTGTAAGGGCGCAGTAATAGCATAGCAAGTTCCTATACCCCTGTTCTATAGTGTTCTCATTATTATTTTCTCACTTTCTCTACGAAGCAATATGGTTACATTTGGTTCGCCGTGGATTGCTTGCAGGGTGCCTATTTATGCTTCGTCAG